AGACACACAGACACACAGACACACAGACACACAGACACACAGACACACAGACACAGACACACAGACACACAGACACACAGACACACAGACACACAGACACACAGACACACAGACACACAGACACACAGACACACAGACACACACACACACACACACAAAACTATACCCGCAACCCTGCCCACCCCCAACAAAAATATCACACACACACACACACACACACACATACACGCACACAAAAAAAACATAATAATCATAGTCATAACTAGGCGTGGTCACAATAAGTCCTCCAAAGGAGAAGAAGAATTGTAATAATAATAACAACAATCATGATCACCATCATCATAGTCATAGTCATAGTCATAGTCATAGGTCAGAGTCATAGGTCAGAGTCATAGGTCATAGTCATAGGTCACAGCCATAGCCCATTGCCATACTCAAAGTCATTGTCATAGTCAAAGGGGTCCCCTTAGCCCCCTCAAACACCATCCGAGGCGCCGCCTGCTGGGGGACCTTGCCTCCCGTGAGGCGCAGGATGGCCACCGCCGCTGCGGTCACGCCCAGCTGCAGCCGGTGCTCGATCCCCACCTACAGGCGCTGTTGGAGTGTTAGGGTTTAAGGGCTTTTAGGGAATTTTTACAGGGTTCTGTTAGGGTTTTGGGGTTGGGGTTGGGGATCGTCTTCTATGCTTTGCACCTACAGCTTGCTGGGGATGTTCGAGGAGGAAATCATCAGAACGACTGGAAAGGACTGAGTGCAAAGGATGATATGAGCTAAGAAAATGGGTCAAAATGCACAAAGGAATGAAATGAGCGCGTGATTCTGTTAACATATGAGCGCAACAAAGAGGAATTCTTAAAAGGCTATGATTATCGGGGTTCTTCACTCACTACAGTTAACAGCCTTTTTCCTGAGCTTTTTGGACCAACATCAACTTCACGTTAACAAAAAGACAAGAACCCTCACGAAGCTAGTACCTTGTCCTCTTTTTCAAAATCTCACCTCCGTGTTTTAAGTGCTTAGGGGGGCACAGGGTCTAGGGTCTTTAGAGGCGGCGGAGGGCGGAAGGGTTGTGAGTTGGGGTGAGGTGCTTAAACCTGGCGCTGTTGGGTGCTGGGGTTTGGGGTCTAGAGGTTGAGTGGTCACGGATGTAAGGCTGCCGGTAACCTAGGATTAAAAAGGGTGCCCGTTTTTCGCTTCAAGTGGTCTAAACGGGAACCTAAACCCCCCAAAAAGGGAATGAGGGTACTACTGGGCATCCTTGGAATTGAGGGCTGAAGGATTCAGGGTTTAAGGCTCTCGGGTTCTGGGTGGTGGGGCTGATTGGGGTGCAGGAGGTTGGCTTTCGTGAGCTCCTTGTTCTCTGCGACCCTCTGCAACATCTCAAATGCCTGCCTAGCAGAACCGGCCCTGAAACTTAAACCCCAAACCCCTACAGTAAACCCCTAAAGTAAACTCTGAACCCCGAAAAACCCTTATCCCCGAAACCCTATAACCCTAAACCGTTAAGCCCGAAACCGCCAAGCCCCTAAAATCCACCCAGCCGCTGCCTCGTCTCCCTGGGCGTCTTTGGCCCAAAGGGCTGCCTCCTTGGGAGTCTGGGGGCTTAGGGGGCTTGAGGGGCTTTAGGGGCTTAGGAGCTTTAGGGGCTTTAGGGGCTTTGGGGCTTTGGGGCTTGAGGGGTTTAGGCGCTTAGGGGCTTAGGAGTGAGGGTTTTGGGGTTTAGGGGCTTAGGGTCTTAGGGGCTTAGGAGCTTAGGAGCTTTAAGGGCTTCGGGGCTTAGGGGCTTGAGGGGCTTAGGGGCTTCGGGGCTTCGGGGCTTAGGGGCTTGAGGGGCTTAGGGGCTTAGGGGTTTAGGGGCTTGGGGGGGCTTAGGGGCTTGGGGGTTTATGGGCTTAGGGGCTCAGGGGCTTAGGAGCTGAGGGGCTTCGGGGCTTAGGGGTTTAAGGGCTCAGGGGCTTAGGAGCTTAGGGGCTTTAGGGGCTTCGGGGCTTAGGGGCTTGAGGGGCTTAGGGGTTTATGGGCTGAGGGGCTTAGGGGTTTGGAGCCCTAATCCCTAAACCCTAAACCCTAAAACCCCAAACCCTAAGTAAAACTACCCGTGAACCTCCAAGCAGGCTTATTTGCGCTCCTGGGAGTGCACGACGTCGATGTCCTTGAAGACATCGTCCTCGCTTTCCCGGTGCCTCAGCAGGGTTTAGGGTTCAGGGTTTAGGGTTTAGGGTTCAGGGTTTAGGGTTTAGGGTGTAGGGTGTAGGGTGTAGGGTTTAGGGTGTAGGGTTTAGGGTTTGGGGTTTGGGGTTTGGGGTTTGGGGTTTGGGGTTTGGGGTTTAGGGTTTAGGGTTTGGGGTTTGGGGTTTGGAGTGCTTTTAGGGTTCAGGGCAGCCGCCACAGCAGGAAACCCTAAACCCTACCTAAGCCCTAAACCCTAAATCCTAAACCCTAAACCCCAAGCCCTAAACCCCAAACCCGAAACCCTAAACCCTAAACCCCAAACCCTAAACCCTAAACCCTAAAACCAAGCAGCTGCCGGGCCAGGCGCTGGCGCAGCGCTGCTACGGCTGGCGAGGCCCAGACCTCTTCTCGGGAGCAGGTCTTGCAGCTTAGCAGGTTTGGGAGGCTTGGGGTTTAGGGTTTAGGGTTTAGGGTTTAGGGTTTAGGGTTTAGGGTTTAGGGTTTAGGGTTTAGGGTTTAGGGTTTAGGGTTTAGGGTCTAGGGTCTAGGGTCTAGGGTTTAGGGTTTAGGGTTTAGGGTTTAGGGTTTAGGGTTTAGGGTTTAGGACCCTAAACCCTAAACCCTAAACCCTAATTCCTAAACCCTAAACCCTAAACCCTAAACAGATGAAGAGGTTTGGGGATTTGAGGGACTCCCGTCACTCTGTCTCCCAGGCGTTAAGCGCAGTATGTATGGTTTCATCCAGAGTCTTGGACCAAGGAACGAACCTGGCGCCAAGGGGAAATGTGCCAGCGCTGACTAGAGATTCTGGGCCAAGGGCTTCGCGTTTGAAAAAACCAACAAAAAGAGGAAGCAAATACCACGAAACAAACAGAACCTTGAACCCCCTAAACAGTAAATCAAGAAGCCTAAAACGCCTCCATCAACAACCCTCAAACCCTAAAACCCGCATTTCTAACCCTACAACAAAACCCGCATTTCTAACCCTACAACCCTCAAACCCTAAAAACCCGAAAAACAACCCTAAAACTCTGAAACTCCAAATCTCACAAAACCCACGAAACCCACAAAACCCACAAAACACCCCAAAACCCACAAAACCCACAAAACCCACAAAACCCGCAAAACCCACAAAACCCACAAAACCCACAAAACCCGAAAACCCGAACCCTGTAAACCATAAAACACTCAACCCTCAGAAACCCTGAAATCCTGAAACCCTACAAACCCTATAACCCCTAAAATCCTATAAACCCTAAAACCCTAAACCCTAAAACCCGAAAACCCGAAAACCTGAACCCTAAACCTTAAAAACCCCTCAACCTTTCAGCGCCTCGGCCAGCTTGGCCACGGCCACGCGTGAGGGGTCCGCGGGGCACAGGCCTGGGCCCCCCTAAACCCTAAACCCTTCTTGGTTGCTCTTAGCAGGGTAGCTATAAATTTAACTTTTAGCTGCCTTCTTAAGAAACCCAATAAACCCAAAAAGGCTAAAGATGTAAAGTTACAGTAAAGCACCACAAAGCCTTAACCCTTAAACCCTAAACACTCAACCCTAAACCTTAAATCCTTCCTTCAGGGATTTGGGGGAGCACAGTCCTGGGCCGGCAGCCACGGAGACGACGGGGAGGCCGCGCTCCACCGCCACCCTGGACGGCTCAACCCCCCAAAACCCAAAAGGTAGGGTTTAGGGTTTAGGGTTTAGGGTTTAGGGTTTAGGGTTTAGGGTTTAGGGTTTAGGGTTTAGGGTTTAGGGTTTAGGGTTTAGGGTTTAGGGTTTAGGGTTTAGGGTTTAGGGTTTAGGGTTTAGGGTGTTTAGGGTTTAGGGTTTAGGTGTTTAGGGTGTTTAGGGTGTTTAGGGTGTTTAGGGTGTTTAGGGTGTTTAGGGTGTTTAGGGGTTTAGTGGGTGTTTGGGTGTTTAGGGTGTTAGGGTGTTTAGGGTGTTTTAGGGTGTTTGGTTTAGGGTGTTTAGGGTGTTTAGGGTGTTTAGGGTGTTTAGGGTGTTTAGGGTGTTTAGGGTGTTTAGGGTGTTTAGGGTGTTAGGGTGTTAGGGTTTAGGGTTTAGGGTTTAGGGTTTAGGGTTTAGGGTTTAGGTTAGGGTTTAGGGTTTAGGGTTTAGGGTTTAGGGTTTAGGGTTTAGGGTTTAGGGTTTAGGGTTTAGGGTTTAGGGTTTAGGGTTTAGAGTGTAGGATTGGATTCGGGGTTTCGGGGTTCGCGGTTTTGGGGTTTGGGGTTAGGGTTAAGGTTTAGGGTTGGGGTTTAGGGTTTGGGGTTTAGGGCTACGTGAAGGTTCATGGGCAGTTACAAGTCGGGCTATAAGTACCCAAAGCAAGGCTGCAACTATAGTTATCCTACTTGTAGCCCCTAGGTAAAACTTCCCATGAACCTCCAAGTAGGGTGTAGGGTTTCCGCGGGTTTGCGTGGTGAGGGCTTAGGGAAGCCCTAAACTACCGCTCTAAGCCAACCCCAAATCCAAAGCCCCGACAATCTGCCTTGGGTTCGCGCTACGTCGTGATTTTTTTTGCAAGAACGTATAGTGTAGTTGCAGCGTGTAGTGCCCTAAGGCTGAGGAATCTGGGAACAAGGCCTCTCTAAGTAAGCTCTCTAATCAGGTTTTTATCCGACTACATGGGGGGTGAGGGGCAGCTTTCACTTGGGGTTGTTCTAACTTGGGGCCCCCTTTTGCAGGAGGTGACCTTGTTCTCAACTTGGCTGCTCTTAGCAGGGTAGCTATAAATTTAATCTTTAGCTGCCTTCTCAAGAAACCCAATAAACCCAAAAAGGCTAAAGATGTAAAGTTACAGTAAAGCACCACAAAGTCAATGTGACCTTTAAGAGTACCCCTTCTGTGGAACGGCATCCACCCCAACGAGAGCCAGATCTACGGGCCTCATGAGCAGCTCCTTCCCCGAGGTTCCGCCGATGCAGTCGAGGAGCCTTGGTTTAGGGTTGAGGGTCTAGGGTTTAGGGTTAAGGGTTTAGGGTTGAGGGTTTAGGGTTTAGGGCTTAGTGTTTAAGTTTTTCGGTTTAGGGCAAAGAGCAGCACGCAATTCACACGACGAGTTCTACTCGGGTTTGGGGTTTAGGTTGGGTCTGTACTTTTTCCCAACTACGAAGTTTCAGTCGTTGCCCTATCAAGTACTATGGCTATACCCTTCACGAAATTTGAAAAAACAGGAGGAGAACGTTTACCGATGACCAGCCTTGGGGGCATATCCGGGAGCCTCCCGTCCTCGCTGGGCCCCAGCAGCCCTGGCGCCTGCTCTGCTGTCAGGTGCTCCCGTCGCAGCTCGATGTCCACGTGGGGCAGCACCTCCATGACCCCTGTAATTCGGGCTGAGGATTTGGGGATTAGGCGTTTAGGGGGGTTTCTGGTTGTAAGGCTTAGGAACATAGGGGCCTTTTTTCAATCAGACTGGGTGTGTTTTGGGGTAGTGTTTGATGTACGTACACATGTATGCAGTATGTTGCAGAAGAAAACGAAGAAGCAGAAAAATGATCCTTCAAGCGCCTCGCACATCAGTTCCTCGCACACGTCCACCTTCGGCCGACCCTGGTCCGTGGCCCGGGCCAGGGCGTGACGGGCGCTGTTGCTGATGCAACTCCTTTCTTCGCAGGTTCGTAGGGCTTAGGGTTTAGGAGGCCCAGAGAGGCCCATACCCCTTATTCTGAAAATGAATGTGGATTTACGTTAAGGTATAGTACTTGGAGGTTCATGGGTAGCTATAAGTAGGGTTATAAGTAGGGTAACTATACTTATATCCTTACTTAGGGTACTTATAACCCTAAGCATAACTTTTCATGAACCTCCAAGTACCCCCAAACCCTAAACCCTAAACCCTAAACCCTAAACCCTTCTTACACCATGTTTGAGGGAAATCTGGGGCTCTTTGGGTCCTTCCAGCCATCAGCGAACACAGCTCAGAGCACAAGGCTTCCAAGCCAATCCAAAAAAATTGGGAGAAACCGGGTCGGGGAAGGTGTAGGGTTTAGGGGTTTGGGGGTTAGGGTTTAGGGTTTAGGGTTTAGGGTTTAGGGTTTAGGGTTTAGGGTTTAGGGTTTAGGGTTTAGGGTTTAGGGTTTAGGGTTTAGGGTTAGGGTTTAGGGTTTAAGGTTCAGGGTTTAGGGCTGAAATGCCAGTCTGGTGAAGCCAAGGCGCCCGTCCACCAAGCGGAGCCGCGCAACGCCCGCCCGAGCCAGCAGCATTGCAGCGGCGCTGCCCACAGCACCCAAGCCCACGATGGCCACGAAGGAGTTGCAGAGCTTCTTGTGGCCCTCCTCTCTGCTTGGCTGCTCTTAGCAGGGTAGCTATAAATTTAATTTTTAGCTGCCTTCTTAAGAAACCCAATAAACCCAAAAAGGCTAAAGATGTAAAGTTACAGTAAAGCACCACAGAGTCTCTGGTGCACTATCTAAAACCTCCTGAGAATCCTATTTCACTTGGGGTTACAGTGAACAAAAATAACCTGAAAAATCTTTCCGTTTTCCCCATTCGTCCTCCCCCAAGAAGGAAGAGCTTCTGGAAAGCTGCTCTTCCAACAGCGCCCGGGCTTCCTTGCAAAGGGGTACTGACCCGGCTAGTCATGGTACCCAGGAGCCTTCGGAAACCCTCAACCCCCAAGCGCCACAAATGCAGCAATTCGTAACCTCCCAAAACCCCTCAACTCAAAAACTTGATAACGACAAAAAAACCGCGAAGCCAATCTTGAACAAAAGCGACACCCGTCTCCACCTCCCCCCCCCCCCACTCCAAACCCAAACCCTGAACCCTACACCCTTCCTAAACCACCAACACCCTCAACCCCTCAACCCCAAACCCCTAGCCCTAAACCCCAAACCCCGAACCCTAAACCCCAAAACCCCGAACCCGAAACCCCCACCCAGCCCACACAAAAAGCTGCGGCTCCTCGTCCTCATCCAGGGCCGCCGGCGCGGCGGCGGGAGGAGGGCACAGAGGCGCCGCGCTGCCGAGCGCCTTCGAAACTTCTGAAGCTGAGGGTTTAGGGTTTAGGGTTTAGGGTTTAAGGTTTAGGGTTGAGGGTTGAGGGTTTAGGGTTTAGGGTTGAGGGTTGAGGGTTTAGGGTTTAGGGTTTAGGGTTTAGGGAGGGTTGAGGGTTGAGGGTTGAGGGTTTAGGGTTGAGGGTTGAGGGTTGAGGGTTTAGGGTTTAGGGTTTAGGGTTTAGGGTTCAGCAGCTCCGGGTCGAGCAATCTCCAGTAGAACCGCTGTTTGGGCTCTCGAAAATAATCCCACCCACCCAGAGAATCCCAAAACATTCAGAAATAAAAAGTTTACATTTTTCATCAGCAAGCCCTGTCCTCCAACCTCACTCTGTCATGGACCATCCTACCCACGATCTCGACCCCACAAGCTCCAATCAGAATGCCGGCGGAGGTGTCCCCGCACAATCTGACAGCAGAATTCTTGCCGGCCAAGCATGAAGTGCCTCGGTAACCTCGGACGCTGGAGGCGAGGCCTCGAGCGTAGGAGGTGCGAACAAGAGGCCCTCACACACAATTCTGTATGAGGCCCCCAACATCCCGAAAACCATAAAGACCCTCGGCCTGTGTGGCGGTCTCTTGACCCGGAGGCATTCCCTGCCAGGCGGTGCAGGCTTCTCGGTTACTTTGTCTTCTTCTCGCCTCGCGTGTCGGCATTCGTTTCCAACACGAGTCCTCTGCCAATAAGTCTCTCAGGATCGATACAGTAGAATCCTGCCAGCCAGCCTCTAAAGGCCCGAAACCTGCCAATACCAGCAAAACCATTTCATCCAAAAAGGGCGGGAGGGGGGAGGGGGGGGGGGGGGAGGGAGGGAGGGAGGGGGGGAGGCGGGGGGAGGGGGGGGAGGGGGAGGGGAAGGGGGGGGGGGCGGGGGAGGGGGGGGAGGGGGGGGGGGGGGGGGAGGGGGGGGGGGGGAGGGAGGGGGGGGAGGGGGGGGGGGGAAATGACACGAAGGAAATGACCCTTAGCCACGAAGGAAATGACCCTTAGCCACGAAGAAATGACCCTTAGCCACGTTAGCACCCAGGAAATGGCCCTTAGAAATGGCCCTTAGCGAAGAAATTGCCCTTAGCCACGAAGAAATGACCCTTAGCCACGAAGAAATGACCCTTAGCCACGAAGAAATGACCCTTAGCCACGAAGGTGTGTAGGGTTTAAATATATATATATATATATATATATATATATATGGTAAGAGAGGTTTAGGGTTTAGGGTTTTTAGGGTTTAGGGTAGGGTTTAGGGTTTAGGGTTTAGGGTTAGGGTTTTTAGGGTTTAGGGTTTAGGGTTTAGGGTTTAGGTAGGGTTTAGGTTAGGTTAGGCGTGTTAGGGTGTTTAGGGTGTTTAGGGTGTTTAGGGTGTTTAGGGTGTTTAGGGTGGTTAGGGTGTTTAGGGTGTTTAGGGTGTTTAGGGTGTTTAGGGTGTTTAGGGTGTTTAGGGTGTTTAGGGTGTTTAGGGTGTTTAGGGTGTTTAGGGTGTTTAGGGTGTTTAGGGTGTTCAGGGGGTTCAGGGTGTTCAGGGGGTTTAGGGTTTAGGGTTTAGGGTTTAGGGTTTAGGGTTTAGGGTTTAGGGTTTAGGGTTTAGGGTTTAGGGTTTAGGGTTTAGGGTTTAGGGTTGAATGAGGGTTTAGGGTTTAGGGGCCGAGGGTTGAGCGTTTAGGGTTTAGGGTGCTTCTTAAAAGGGAGTAGTATAGCATCCCATGCTTCAGCCTAACCTAACCGGAAACGCGAAAGCCTCAACCGGGAACTTCAAACCATCCTGAACCCCTAAACTCCCAAATCCTGAGCCCCTAAACCCCCAAATTGCGAACTAAACCCTGAACCCTAAACCCTAAACCCTACACCCTAAGCCCTGAACCCTAAACCCGAAACCCTGAACCCTAAACCCTGAACCCTAACCCTAAACCCTAAGCCCTACAGCCTACACCACCCTAAACCCGAAACCCGAAACCCTAAACCCTAAACCCTAAACCCTAAACCCTAAACCCTAAACCCTAAACCACCCCACGCCCCCTCCTCCGACAGCAGGGGTTCCCTCTCTGCGGGCGCAGCCGCTAGCTGCCAGGGCAGCAACAGCTGGGCTCGGGCCCAGGCTAAGGAGGCCTTCTTTTGGGGGGGGGCGGAGGGGTGGTGCTTGGGGGGGGGGGGGGGGGGGGGGGGGGGGGGGGGGGGGGGGGGGGGGGGGATGGTGTTGAGGGGGGGGAGGGGTGGTGCTTAGGGTTCGGGATTCAGGGTTTAGGGTTTAGGGCTAGGGTTTAGGGTGTAGGGCTGCCGTTTGAGGGTTGAGAGTTTTGCGTGAGGGTTCGCGTTTGTGTGTAGGATTACTTGAGAGAGGGCTTCTAGAATATACCCCAAGGTCTGGGGACCCGTAGTTTCTGGGTTTCTGGAGCTAAAAGCCGTACCTTCTTAAGGTTTTTGGTTAAGGTGAGTTTGGGGGTAGCGATCGAGGAGGAGTTTGGCGGGGGGGCGGGGGGGGGACTATGGGGTTGGAGGGGCGAGGGTTTTAGTGAGGGTTCGAAAACTTTGAAATTGCTAGGGTGGTTATGACTTTATCGTCTATTCTTCGGTACGCACTTACAATACAAAATTCGTGCATGCGTTCACTCCTTCGTTCATGCACAGCTTTTCAACCGACCCCTAAACCCTAGAGCCCCTGGCCCTTAAACCTATAAACTCCTAACACCCTAAACCAACCTATACACCCCTAGACCCTGCCCTCGACCGCGGGGGTTTCGGGCCTAGCGGGCACCTTAAACTTTTCAGAGGTTTTTAAGGCTTAGGGTCGGGTTAGGGTTTAGGGCCAGGGCTTTAGAGGGTGAGGGGGTTTAGCACAAGCAAGGCTCCCTTCCTCGTACTCTGAACCCTGGGCCTTAACTTAGCAAGTAGGGCTAGTAAGGTGGGCAATGGGGATTATCATAGAGCTTCTAGGGGGTACTCGGTAGACCTATTACCCCTAAACCCTAAACCCTAAACCCTAAACCCTAAACCCTAAACCTAAACCGGTGCAATACGGCGAAGCGCGCCTCCACTCGGCTGCGTACCGCGTCAGAAACCTCTGCCGGGCCCTTGTGGCTCTCTGCCTCTGGGGCTTGCGAATATTTCCCAGAAACTTCTCTTAGGGTTTAGGGTTTAGGGTTTAGGGTGTAGGGTTTCGGGTGTAGGGTTTAGGGTTAAGGTTAGGGTTTAGGAATGGACTTTGGACCTTGAACTTTCTAGAGATCCTCATGATGAGGTAAGGCATATTCGGGGTTTCGGAGTTTCTGGGGTTTGCCTCGGATCCCGCGTAGTTGCCACGGGCCTGATCCCAAAACCCTCCCTATCCCCGATACCTAAACCCTGCACCTCACAACCCCACGAAAGCCGAGGCTCCTAAGCAAAGTGTGTTGGGCCACTGATCTTTTCTGAACTCTGGTCAGACCTCCTAGGAATCAACCCTAAACCTTACAGTCATGATCCCTAAACCCTAAACCCCATGGGCCCAAACCGAACAAAAAACCTTGAAGCCCCCCAGAAACCCAACGCACCAAAACACTAAAAAACCAAACAACCAAAGCCCCGTCCTCGACTGCCGTGGCCAAAATGAGGTTACCCGCCGTGGCAGGCTCCTGCCTCGGCAAGCAGCACGAAACCCCAAGCTTTTGGGGTTTAGGGTTTAGGGTTTAGGGTTTAGGGGTTAGGGTTTAGGGTTTAGGGTTTAGGGTTTAGGGTTTAGGGTTCACATTGGCCAAGGCGGATCGAAATCCGTTGCGATGAGGCATCTGAGCACCAGGTCAACCACTAGCAAGTCACAAGCAGAGAGGAGAAGGCTCCCCCGTCTCGTTGTAATTCGGGTTTAGGAACAAGGGTGCTCTTTCCCCCCCAAAGGCCTGAGAACCCCTGCAAGCTCTTCAGGGAGCACACCACACACCAACTAAACCCGCAGCCCTGACCCTGAAGCAGACCTGAAGCAGAACCTTACTTGAGGGGTTGGCTTAACTTACAAGCCCTTCGCCCTAAGCCCTAAATCTTCAACCCTAAACGGGCGACAGCGCTGCCCATATAAATCAGTGCTCGAGCCTCTCGGACAGGGTTTTGCCCTGGCGCGTGGCGAACTGGCCCGAGGGCACAGCCTCCCTGGACAACTTCCATGGGCTCTTTCGCGACGCGTTTATCTCTGTGGCCCTGCCCTACGGCCCTCTTTGAACCCCTCACATGCTACTGTATCTTTCTGGCACTCATCCTGGCTTTTTCTAGGAGGCCTGAGACAATGCCTGGGACACCCTAACAGCCCCTAACATCTTTCTGGAGTCCCCTCAAGCCTGTTAAACCTTCTTGTGCTGAGCGCACGCGCTGTCGCTCCTTGCCGGTTGTTCTTCTGTGGCTTCCACATCTTTCTGCTCCATTGTGGCACCAGCTGCCAGCAGAATGTAATAACCCTGGAATGAGTAACCAGTAGGTATTGAGTCGGAAGGTAGGTACAAGGGTATTTCTGTTCCGACACCGCACAGGTGTTTTATCGGTTTAGGGCGTAGGGTGTCAAGGAGAAGGGAGCCTGCACCTTGACCGGCTCAGTTCAGGGCATCGTGAAAGGGGAACTGAGTGAGGTGACAGCCTGTACTGTTTCAAGTCATGTTATAGTCAATGAATACAAACAAGTTTCATAAATATTGATCATAAGCCCATGCAATACGATTATCTTAGAAGGCTTTTTGGATCAGATAGGATTCCTATACAAATCATATGTTGCGGGGTTGGGGCTGTGAGATTTTGAGCAAGCCATGCTCTTCGCCTCCTCGCCGCCTCGCCGCCTCGCCTCCTCGGCCTGGTGCCTGGAGTGCCCAGCCACCGGAGCCATGCTCTTCGCCTCCTCGCCGCCTCGCCGCCTCGCCTCCTCGGCCTGGTGCCTGGAGTGCCCAGCCACCGGAGAAGCCAGCCTTCAGAGAATGCCGCGGAGTCCTGCGACAGAAGCCTGCGGAGAAGTATCCGTAGTTGCCTGTCTG